CGGGCTACATCACATACGCGACTTTTGGTATGAGTCCCCGGTTTACCAGAATGAATTCACACTAAAATGTCCAACAATTCACCAAATATACCGGGACATAACTCACTCCTATGGTATCACTATCGGTGTATGCCGTTTTGTTTCCCCAATTTTCATTTCTTGTCGAGGAAATCGCATTGCAGTTCTTCACAGCCGCCCATGTTACAAGTCTTCGGTCGTCTGACGATGTATTGTCTGCTGTAGTGCGGTTATCAAGGGGAGATGGTGGCTCTGTTCAACTCAGTAGTCATTGCACGCCTAAGAGAGCAAGAAAGAACACCAAATTTCAAGGAGTAATATGTATGAATAAATAAATCAACGAATGGTAGCAGATATATTTATATACCTGTGGAAAAAAACTCTTTTATTCTCCCAGGTGGATGCTATGCCTGTAAAGCCTTCAGAGAATTTCTTTCAATCGGAGACTAGAGCTTTTAAACTTTACTGCCTAGGCATGCTACCCGACAAAAACATATCTGCAAGTTTGTATTTCAAATTTTTATTAATGCCTTTTAAGAAGATTTTAAAAAGTAGTAAAAGCTTCTTAAAAGGTATTAGTAAAAATTAAAAATACAAAACTTGAAATGTTCATTCTTACGAACACTGAGTATGAAAACACTTCCTAAAAATTTGTCAAATTGCACTCAGAGTTTGCACCCCTCCCCCAAATGTTGCTAGTTAACATAGGCTTTTCCGACTGAACTCGTATATCGTGTAGCATCCGAACTAACGATAGATTTATTTATTCAATTTAGTAAGAAAAAGATTCAAAAAAATCTAGATCAGTATTCAAAGGGCAAAACTTCTCAATTGATTTAACCTCATGAGGATGTGATTGTACTCTCCTTTATACAAAAGTGAAGTCAGCACTTGATTTGGAAAAATATATAAAGATCTTTCTAATTGGCACGGACACTGGGGGGCACAAACATAAATTACATATACACACTTACTGAGAAAGTGTGTCTTTGTTGTGTATAATTTTATAAATAGAGAAATTACAAATCAGTTAACTGCATTTAGTCAATAATAATTAGGGGTTATTTAAGGGATTTTGTGTCAGTGATGAAGGTTCAGGACGAGCATTGCCTCCAGATTTGTTGATGGACAATCATTATTAGACTAAAATCTGATTATTTGTCGTTTGTAATAGGCCTATATGAACATACCTCAACACATGTAATCTTCTTTCTGTACACCTGAATTTGTGCATTCCTCCGTCTTAAAGTTTTCTTCAATATGTACACTGTTTTTAAATTTGCAGACTCGGAGTGCGAATATAATGGCCCGTGGACGAGAACGAAAGTAAACCCTGGGCCGGAGTTCTCCTTCCATCCACTCACCCGAAGCGATACCGTATGATGGGTATAATGCATCGTCAAATTGAATGTACCTTGCTCTGAAATAAGTGCCTCAAAGTACACAATAATTGAAGGCTCTGAGTTTAAACGCAAAGCTTTGGAGCAAAGAGCTGGTAAGAATCACTCGAACACAAAAACATGTCAGTGAATTCGATTGCTATTTTGACGAACTTGGCCGGGAAAACCTACAATTTAACAAACGGAGGAACGTCAACCCCTTTTTACCTATAAAGTGTTAACATGTAAAAAATAAACGTCAACACCGTTGTATCTGTACATATAAACAATACAAATAAAATGATGCATGTAATTCATTTTCAGCGGGTTTGGGGTGTGGACAGAGCTTACCCATCCAAAAATCAAGACCAAAATGACAAGGATTCGAAACAGCCATTCTGACTCAAGCTGGTCTGATTCAAATATTATAGGGCTTCCAGCTGTCTGTCGCGTTTCCCATAACCACTCAAATTTGGGATCTCAATATTTTGCATCTCTTAGGTGTATCAGCCTCAACCCAGTTCCACGAAGTTGCGAACTCCTGAATGTGCGATCATGTTGCAATGCTTTTGGTGTGTTATACATTATAACATTACTATACTTGGTTCCTTACTTTCTAAATACGATGATGCCATATCAACTTGCAGCTAACTGTCATTTATTTACCAGTATATGGTTTTGTTTCATTAAATGAAAAAGATCATACATTAAATATTATGTATCCACATTTTATCAATGTCAGTTTTGATACCTTTTGATTTATCGATTGACCAATGCTAGATTCAACTCTTGTACTCCAAAATTATTGTGTCTGTTCCCTTTCATTCATTGCAAATACCGAGCCTTTTCTTCCGCCACGATTTCGATAGGATAAGAGGTTGAAATAGCAAAATTTTAGATGCGATACCCGATTGGCAACATCCATGCTTTTCTCTGGTACCTATAAATTTCATGACTCAGTGACTGGTCATAGCCACGATTTCTAATTCTGTCGGTCGATATTTAATGAATGCATTAGTTAACACCCTAGAATTGCTAGGACGTTCAAACAGTTTGATCAAGCAGGATTTTGATCGCAGGTTTGCATAATAGTCAAAGAAAAACATTGTTATTTAACGTTTTTCTTGAATTAATTATAAACCTGATTTTATCCCCCACCAATTTCTTTCATGAGCGGACAAATCACAACTGCTTTTTAGTTTAGAAATGAACATCAAACTTATCCAGTCTTACCCATCTCAATCGGGACAAAGAGAGGGCGCAATTTTCCTAGCAACGGAGGATCATTTGGTGGGAATTGCACTTCGCTAGTTTACAAATTAACGACTACGAAATTACGATCACGATTACGCTTTACGATCACGTCGCTACCAACAAAACGAACACTAACACGCTGCAAACACTGGGGTGTTAAGTTTAACAACCCCGGTGTCATCAGAGGACTACACTAACACTTTTCACTGGTGTTAAAATGTTGGTGTTATTTGGTGTTAGTTTTAACACCATCCAGTGCATTGTAACATTTATAGGCGTGCAAAGTAACACCAACGGTGTTAAAATAACATCCTATAGTCTGATAACACCAAAAAGTGTTGATTTTAACACAAGAGTTTTCAGAGTGCACCAACATAGCTCATTTCAACCGATGAAGGGGTGCCTCTGCTCGAGATGGGTATTAATATAAAGACTATTCCGCAGGGGAAAATGTGGACAAATTAATGACAAAATTACTGTGAGCTTACTGCGTCATAAAAGCAGGAAGCATTGTGGGACGAATGGAACTAACATTGAATAAACAAATAACAAGCCTGAATACATTTAATTGTCGATGGCGTTTATTGAAAAAAGTTATAATATCTTTTTATAACGGTTACCTCGATTACAACCATATAGGTTCCTCTAAAGCGAAGTCTCATCGTTGAACAACTTTGTGTGAATTTAAGTTAAGTTTCTCTAAAAGAATATGGAAAATGGCAAAATAGATAAAATGAATAGAAAACCAACAATCAGCGCATTCGATTATTTTCCTCGCGCTTACTCGTCCTTATCGACTGGTCGCCGTCCCTATTACATAGGGACCGGTAGCTAGCTGCAGTTGAACGTGTGCGATTCAGGCCCGTTGCCTGACCAGATACGGGGGGGGTCGTCAAACCCCAAAGTGGAACTTTTGGCACATATTTTTATACAAAGGCCTATCATAATGTGCTTTGGAACACAAAATCAAACAGGTTCTATGTTTGTCGCAAACCGAAGGATGCAGGTATAGACTTACATAGGCCCCTACTTCAGTTTTCAATATTCACCGCGTATTGTAAATTGGCCTGGTATATGAATTTGCTCTTCACTCAGCACCTAGAATCTGGCGTTGGGTGACGAGTGAATGATATGAACATAATTATTAAAAAATCTCAGAAAATCCCACAAAAAAATTCAGAAGTTCTAAAAGAGTGGTGTATTCTAGTAAATCATTATTACCTCCACTCACCTACTAAAAATGGTAAACAAATATTTATAGGAGCATTTCATTTTGCACTTGGGAAAAAAATCGGAAAATCAGATCAAATTAATATGTCATCGGAACTTTGTAGCGGTTATATGAAATCGACATTTATTGATCAAAGTATTTGGAGACGATTAAATTTCACCTTTTGTGAAATTGGAGGTAAAATATTGCTCCATACACAGACGTTCGAAGCGAAAATGCGAAGTGCCCATAGGGTCTGCGCCACTCTCCGGAGCGCATTCTTCAATTGTTACGTGAAGAAGCGCGCGAACCAGTGTTCCTCGAAATTGTTTTAGTGTCTTTGCTGGGTGGGCCATGCAGCAATTCTTTTTAAGACCAGAAATATGATAAACAACATGGATTTCACAACCGTAAAAGACAAAAACGAACAGACATACCACACAATCTGTGAGATGTAAACGGTACTTACGGTGCATTTACAAGTCTTTCTGGACTGGTTTCCTTCATTTCCAACACGTGAGTAGAGCCAATGTAAACGGTAACCAATGAAAACATGACTGCCTTGTCTCCGCGCCCGGAACGCTGCGCCGCTGGTATGCGTGGCTGGCCGGCCGCGGCGCGCAGCGGCGGCCCGGGTTCGGCTGCGCTGCAGGCGTAGCGCAGCGTTTAGTGACTGATTTCATTCTTAAAATGTTGCCATATAAACCGCCCGCAGTTCATTATAAACTGTAGAGACATTTTCCGCGTGAGAATCAATGTATAAATTGCAGCTTATATTCCGAAAAAAAAATACATTTATTTAAAAATGCAAAAAACAAAACAAAAATAAAAAAAAGAGGGGAACTCGGAAGCGAGCGGGGGGTTCCTTCGAACCCCAACCCCCAAGCCTACGGGCCTGCGATTAAGCCCGGTCAATTTGGAAGCTGAATATTTAGGTTTATGTCAGGCCAACAGCAACGCTTATACATGACAGTCGTTTCAGTGCGGAAGCGAATAAAAATCAAGTACCTATTCTTGCTAAGCCTCTGTTGATCAGAGTGTGGTAATTTATTTTTCAGTGATTACAATCGATAAATCATTTTCCGGCAATTTATTTCAAATTAGTGGTTATTGTGTTAAATTTTTAGATATATGAACAATTTATGGTGAAGTTATTTTCGGTAACTTAGTAGAAGAAAAAGCAAAATGTGCTATCAGCTCCTGCTTGATTTTGTCTATCGGGTGAGCATCGTTTTGATTTACATACACCGGGCAGGATTCTGTGGGATTCGTTACTCTAGGAAGGTAATGGGTAATTATCATAATGGGTGTGGTTAACCGCATGCTCGATCAATTTAGTGGACACTTAGAAACTGAAGTGCTAAGGTAAATGTCGGGCTTTACTTTCCTATTATAAAAACATCATCCAACTAACTAATTCCCCACCAAGAAAAAATGGCTATATATAGATTCGAACCCTTGGGTTTTTCCCTCTAAGCATGACGCTCTTCTAACAGAGCTGCCATGCAAGTTTGTCAGGAAAGCAATTTTGCTGAGCCTTATACTTAAAAGTTTGTGTACCTCATTTTCTGATAATTGCCCCAACCTTCCCAGACGAAAAACTCATGCGCAACGATTAAGATACGCCCATTTTATTATAATTTCCCCTAACCTTCCTAAGAAAACAAAAGTGGCTACCAGCTACCGGTCCTTGCGTTCGGAGGGCGCCTACAAGACGCCCGGAGACTACGTAAATGGGACAGGAACCAGTATAAAGTCCTGAAGGAAAGTTGAAACCGTTGAAAATAATTCAAATGGTTGAATGTAGGAACAAATCTGTCCATTAACTAAGTTCTGTGAAGGAAAGGCAAGAAGCATGTGTCTGTTGCTTTCGAATTCTTCAATTTCATTTTCAAAATTTAATCGTGTATGGCCTCTTACCCTGGTCTGGGCACTTCATGTATAACGTTACCGAGGTCGATCCGCATGACCTCCTAAACGCGAGGGAGGAGTATATCGAGCGCGCTGAATGAGTGTTGATACACAAAGACTGTGAGTGCAATCCCGTACACGGATGTAACCACTCAACAACCTAGACTAGCTGTTATTCCACCAACTCTGGCCTAAAACCAAATCCGATTAAACAAAACAAAAACGAGTCAAGCAGAATTGTATTTGCCGTCAAATATGACACAAGAACGCTTTGTTTGGATTTTTCTCTTGTTGACTTTCCCTGGAACCATCTGAATTCCCCCAATCATTCTTAATATTCAAAGAAGATCATCTTTTAAGTGCTTGGGCTCTCTTATTATATCTGTCACAAATAATAAACCCTGAAATATACCTTTTGTCGTTAAATCAGAAAGTCTTGGTTTTTACGTCTGAAGAACTCGGTAAACAGACATACAAATGCAAAACTGAGTCAAAACAACCACATAGCTGATTAATGACCGAATTTAAGACTAAATTCAACTACATTTAATCCTCGCTTGGTATAGTTGTTGTCATAAAATACGAGTTGTTTCCAGCATTTCCTTCAAAGCCTTTTAGTGCCGATCCCCACACGACTGTGGATCTGAATATCGTTCCTTTATACGGTGAACTAGGAAGAACAGCAGTAAGATTTTTACACAATTACAGAAATAATTATTCCAAAAATAATGCATACTTTGCATGCCGTGTTCTTCTTAAATATTGCAAGGACACGGACACGGAGGCCCTTAAACTACAATTTGTTTCCTTTTGAAGGTATGTGCACAGACTGTTGAGGTTCTCTAACCCCCCTCTTAATGTTGAAGTTTTTTCAATTTGATTTTTTTTAGGAATTGAAATCACCAGTACCGTACTTCAGAAACAGAACTACTACCCTCTCTATGTGTTGAGGAACTTTCACGAATGAAACAAAATGCCCAATAGTTCTTTAGATATGTAATTTTTGCCCTTCGTGCCCGAAACCAGGATCTGTCACTGACTTATGGAAATCGTGCGAGTCTGTCATACATTGGGTATAGTAATATGCCTTTTCGTTAAAGCAAAGTTTGGCTTTCAAACCATGTTGTTCTTAGTTCTTATTTCAATGAATATGAAAATACCATAGCAAAATGGTTTTTCTTCTTCTAATTTTTCTTTATATTCTGGTTTATTGACATCAAATGTTTGAATAAAATGGTCCTAGGACCAAAACCATACAAATTAAAAAAAAAAGTACATTCTATTTAAACACTAAAAATAATAACAAAATCAATAAAAATTTTGGACAGAAAAATAAACTGCGAAATTTTAGTCAACGAGGTTATTGTTTAACTTGCTGGAAGTTAAAAAAAATTTTTAAGGGGAGCCCGTATTCTGTACCTCACGCCTTTTTGAAGATCCGTTGAGCAAAGTCCACCTTACACTTGAGATTTTGCAGGTTACATCGGAATTGAGTACATCCGATGCTTTTCCCACAAACATCATTGCCACAGCGACGCCCAACGTAGACTCCATTGCACTTAGCATTCGCCACATGGTCAATAGCCATCCCTTGACCTCCTTCAAACTGCTTTGGTCAAGTTACACATTTTAAAAACAGTGTAAGTACATTGTTTCTGGTAAATCGTCCACTTTTGGAAACACAAAGGGAACACCGAGCCAAATGCTGTCTAGCTGTTTGAAATTTATCCGAATGTACAAAGTTTAGGAGAATCAAACGTGGTGTGTTCAAAGTTGTCCTACACCGGTCTGTTGCATTGTTTTGCCGTTGTTAGCTTCATCAATTCCCCTACCTGGAAAATCATTTCATTTTCCTAGGTTCTAAAGGGTACAATTAAGATCTTTCCTAGAGACTGTACTTTTGCTAAAAAATCTTTGTAAATAGGTCACAAAGTATTCTCTAATAGAGGTTAGAATTGCTGTTCTAATATTGAAATTAATGGGGGCCATGGCACAGGGCCAGTGGCGTGTCATTTACCTTGATAATCAGGATGACAAGTAGGAGCGACTTTAATGACACGACGAAGTGCATTGTGACAAAAATACAAACACGATCCTTCTCTGGCAGCAGGCACTCTTGAATCCAAGCGATTTCACTGTCGGATTCGATCCAGTCTATAAACTGTAGGCGTTGCACAACAGCGTTGACGTTATTTACCTTGAATATCGATCTCTTGCTGAAGCTGAGTGATTTCCATGCTGCTGACTACGATGTGCACATGTTGGCAGATAAGTCAACCTTAATAGTGTCATATTAAAGGTGCCTGACTAGTTTGAAACATTATGCAGATTTAAATTTTCAGCACGAATTTGAACTACAGAAAGTAAAGGACATAACACACACAACATAATGGCCTTCATTTCATAAATTCATTCAACTTGAGCGAATTTGCCTCTTCTTTTCTGAACCTAGTTACAACAGCACGGAATCTCCTTCGCATCGTTCAGATAAGCCGCCACGTTTACACACTGCATTGTGGGATACTTCCTCAAGTAACTGATCAGCGGGTCAGGCCCGAAAAAAAACAAGCGCCATTCCAACAACCAGTAAGAAAAAGTGTAACATTCAGAAACGTCCGACAGGACATTCAGTGACAAAACTCAGTGTGTCAGGGTTGTTTACCTCTCCAGTCAAAATATTAATCACTGGTAGATTTGATAAGTTGACAAGCGCATCGTGACAGAAATACATATAAATCTTTTACCTTCACAGAAACGAATGCGAATCCAGCTCATTTGCACCCAACAGCTGGCCCGAGTGCAGCTGACGGATGACGATGAATCGAAGGGCCTATTCATTTTTCTGCCCGGTTTACACCCAAATATCTCCGACGCTTTTCTCGTTTACAAACTATTGATTAGTCAACAGCCTCCAAAATGGAATAATTTCACCTCAGCTGTTGCGTAGCATTTTCGGAAGTCTGGCAGAAATTGGCATGTCTAGCTTTTATGTAGATTAATTGTGGTCGTTGACGTGGGCGACATGAGTTTATGCAGTCTTGAACAAAAGTATTCTGGACTGAGACACCATTATGATGAAATCAGGCCTGTCGGCAGTCAATGAATTTGTTTGACAATAGAGTGTGACTCAGCATTTACACCTTGTGTAAGAGTACTTTCCTACGGACATCATAAACACTTTCCATCCATCCAAAACATGTCGCAAGAGGGCGTCCCGCTTTTTTAAAGGTGTCTGGTGCTTTTTGTTAGGACCCTCGACAGTCTGTTGGGCTCTGCAGTAGATATTCCCTTGATTTCAGTATTCCTTAAATCAATTCGCCAAATAATTATCACTTGCCAAGTACACAAATGATGTATTTGCAATTCAGTGCAGGTGCCGTGTGCCATTTTTTCCCAACTGAAGTATACCCAACGGCTATTGGCCATGGTCTTGTGTGAAAAGTTTCAATTTTGAAGCAGAAAAGAAGCTCAAACTGAGTGAACTGAACGTAGATTTGCAATGAAAGCGTGATATGTAAATGATTAACAATGATATTTATAACTGAGATAACTTGAATCAAACATATTATGCAGACAGCTCCCAGAGAAAATTTAGAATCTAAGAACAAACTAGAAAATAACAATTTTAAGATAAGATGTAGTGTAAAAACGCAATGGCCGGTTTTCGTCAGGCAAAGGGTAAAACATTGGGGATAAAGTTGTGACCTCTGAAAGATATCAAAGCTATTTGGGTAAGCGAGATTTTTGAAATATTCTGAAATTTTTTATTACACGAACAACTTAGAATGAGAATAATTTCAGATTCGAAAAATAGTTTGTAAACATGTGTCCACAGTTTATTGAATACAGCTTAATAAATAGTAGTATTCTTACTTTGCTTCTGTTACATGCAAAACTGCTATTACATGCACGATTTTACGTTGTCTTTACGACACAGTACAGCCTTTTGTTTGTTGAACCACTCAACAAAACCTATATTTCCAAATCAAAAGAAATTACATTTTGTCGATCAACATATAAAGGTATAATTCTTAACTCAGATTAACTAAGACAAGCCATTACTGAACCAAACATTACACGCGTCGTTAATGATCTAAGCTATCTAATTAAGAAACCAAACCTTTGATTACTATCATCAGTTTGACATCATTTTCTTAAAAAAGTATCCTCTTAAGGTGTTGAATAAAAGTGATTAACAATCTCGTGAGTAAGCGACAAAGAACATCTTTAACCGCCCAAATCTGGTATGTATCTGGTATCTTGTGTGGTACCATGTAGACATCCTGCACAGGAACCGTTGTTCTGAATCCATGGATACCTGAGAATGAATTACAGAGGACATTTACTCAGGACTGGTCTTCAGTTGTCCGATTCCATGAAATCATTTGGAAACGTTACTTGTCTATAAAGATGTCAATTCTCGTTTGTTTCGGAGAAGGGCGTGATTTTACCATACGTGCTTAGGAAAATGACAGAGAAATTCAACGCTTGTATTTGTCGTTTTGTCCTCGGTCTGAAAGCTAACTCGTATACATATGCAGCAAGGTATGAGGTGGAGAGAACCCCCCCCCTNGTGTTAAGTAACAATAGTCTGGAATGTGTATAGGCATTGGACATGTTGGGGGGTACCCCTCGGTCGCATTTCTTGCTGGGTATACTAACTCGACCAGAATTTGTGATATGAACACGCAGATTTTGAACACCGTTCTGAGCATGGGAGCGATTGTCGTTTTCGTTTTTGCCCTTCCATAAACACAAAACGATGATGAATTGATCACGAAGTAAGCTTCATTTCCGTTAAATATTAAAGACAATTAAAAATTATGTCTCGAACGCCATCTCCATCTCGTACTAACCAAAATATGGTAAAATTCAGCAGATTGCCATCGTTAACAGACTCGGCGACCGGCACAGCTCGTTTAGTGGCTAATAACTGGTGCTGACCTTCATGCTAGGGAATTCTTAAGTTGACCAATTCCTTGGTATCTTTTTGAACTCAAGCCAAAACTTCCACAATTACGTTTCAACGTGGGCGACTAGTGTTTCCCTTGTCGCATGTGTAATGGTGAGGATATGTTGTAGATCCCATTATGTTCTTGTCATAAATGCTGTGGGTGACTGGCGTTTACATTTCAAAGATCAGCCCAAATTTTCATTTTTCCATAATGAGCTTGACTTATAGAAATCAAAACATTGTTTACAAATAACTCCCTGGTACCATTGTTCATTGCAATGATAATAACAGAAATAAGACATTGTAAAAATTATGATCCCAATAAGACTGTGGATATTTAGCTGTCGCCGGCTAAGCGTAACTAAACGCTATTAAGAATAATTTCCTTTTGTCACTTTCAAATATTGATTCCAACATTTAATTTTTCTGATTCGTCGCCATGGAATTTTTTTCAGGGGAAGAAAATCCGAAATTCTAAAGTGGTCTGATTCCCACGTCGTGAATAAAAAGTCATAACGATCATGTTGGCGTAGAAATAGACTAAGAGTTGTCACAGTAAGAATTTCAAAGTCCGAAAAATAATTACTTCGCTCGTGGCCGACTCAATATCGTTCAGTTAAATTTGCCGGCGATGACTGATGATAGTATGCCTTAATATAATTTGTGCATTACGCTCTAAGATTACACGAATTGTTGGTAGTGTGCTGTGTCCACTGTCTAGCAAGCAACCTTCAAGAGAAATCTCCATCCTGGTTTATCATCATAAATGCAACAATACCACACGCAGACAAATAAAGCAAACCTATGGGAGCAAGATAATAACGGTGGGATAGGCCTATGTGCAAGGCCTACAAATATACACGCTGCCACTGCCAAACGACTGATAATTAACCTCGAGGATTCAGTTTGCACTTCATGTTTTGCAAGGGTTATGCAGACTGCGATCTTCACGTACCTCTTTTGCCTTATGATCACTGGAGTACCATCTTAGAGTGCTTTTCTGGATAGTGGCACCTGTGTCTCTCGAAGTGACAGCTGAGCGCATAACAGCCCGTGCTCTGGCAATCGTCGGTTGTGGTACAAATCATGTTTTCCAGAAACTGACACAGATCATCCTGCGAGTCCATTTCGCTTTTTTCAGCGGGACTCAATCCTTGTGCACGACCAAGCTGTTTATTCAATGCACACAAATGTATGATTTTAGAACGACGTTATTCGTTTCTTTGTTGTCATTGTTTGTTTGTTTCGAATGCAAGAGTTTGCTTTATAAAACAAAACTATTTTTTAGCGGAAGCCCAATGAATCGGTTTACATGTCTGCCCTTGAGTAGCTCGTTTGCATCTTTGTCCGTATTTGCAGTTGTTAAAACGAACCAAGCGGAACCGCATAAAACCTGAAGAGCTTATACCCATGATTTGCAAAATAAGTAATCCAAAACAGCCATAAACTCACCCAAAGAATGAAGAGAAGTACCATAATGGCTCTCATGACTGATCAGAGTTGGAGACGTAAACAACTCGATGAAATTTGTTTAAATGGTTGACATTCCCTCAAACAGCTGTTAAATTATCCTGCAAAAATACTGCGAATGCTGTTTTTGCATTTCTTCAAATGGCAATGTATGCATCCAAAGTAATGTTTATCCAGATATAAACCGTTCTTCGCATGCACCTTGACCAAGTACCCTGCGATGCAGTTGTGTCGCTACTTGGCACAAGAATTATCAAAACTAATCGATTGCTGTGCATGAGCGCAATTTTAAATTGCGATGTTTTTGTAACATTGTTTCGTTAAATACAAGAGCTCTTCTGATACAGCTGAAAATGTTTGTCATTAAAATATTAATTCGATAAAGAAACTTGATACCTAGAATGCAATGGCATTTAACAAATGCAAGCTCAATATTTCGATCTGGCCTTCTTTATTGGTATGAAATTCTGAATGTTGCCAGGAATCGTAAACATTATGATGGCTATCCATGCTTTAAGGCTGCTCTGAAAAGTTTCCTAATTATTAATTTATTCATGTGATGCCTATGTGCAGTCCAAACATAACACGACCGGCAACGCAAACATTTCCCACGTTGGAATATCTCCGAGTTCTTTGTGCATGGGTGGCTGTCATTGTTTTATGGAGTGAAAGTTCTTGAAAAAGAAGCCTATTCCGTTGCCAACGCAACAAGAGACCTATTAATACAGTTAACACCAAAATAATTATTCATAACCCTTATGAATTTTAGTTTTTTGTGTGTTTCTCTAATGAATGAATGAATGAAAGGTGGGCACATTTTAGGCCATAGTTGAATACTTTTAGGTGTAAATAACTAATGGCCTGATCTTTATCTCATTTGCATAACAAAGAGAATGCTACATTGTTTAAATTCTGACATGTTCAGCACTATTCATACCTATAATCGTTAATATCACAGTTAATAGTCAATTACAAAGCCCTTGTTCTTGATTACAGCATCTAGGCAGTTTGTGTAGATGTTCACGCGGGTTTGGCACAGCTCCACGCGAATTATGGCCCATTCTTCCTTGGCGAAGACCTCTAGCTCTTTCAGGTTAAAGGGCCTGCGAGCATGCACCTTGGACTTTTCGATGCCTGTGAGTGAGGGGAGGGGTCTTTCTTGGACAACGCCCATGTAGCCCATCCTTGAGCAGTGTGCGGCAGATTGTCTGCGTTGAAACCTTGGTGCCCATCTCACCCAAGTTGTCCATGTGCCTTAATTATTGTTTTGGGGTTGGAAATGGCCTCGCGACACACTTTCCTAACCAGACGAAGGGAAACCTTCGGCTTCCGCCTACGCTTGCCGATGTTTTTTCTCAGTACTGAGCTTCTTGTATTTCTTGACGATGCATTGCACAGTAGAAACTTATATCACTTAAGCCACTTATATCTGACAGCTAAAAGTGTTCAACTATGTTCCAAATGTGCCCACCTTTTATTCTTTTGAAAACACCCAAAAACTAAAATTTATGAGGTGTATGAATAATAATTTCGTTAACTGTATTATGGGTAAAACAATGGCCAGCCTGTACATTTTCAAGGCGACGTGTAATTGTGTGATTTCCTCACAATTTCCACCGAGTGAATTTGTGGACTTCATACGAAGTTGGCGTTTGGAGCTAGGAAGTAATGGAAACTGTTCTAGTTAGTGTGCCTACTCACCGGAGTGAAACAAAATTAGAACAAATTCGCATTCTTTTCATTGATAATATGTTGGTGTGTCTACAAATTCAAAGTCGGTTTATTTAGGTCGCATCGATCAGGAAACGCCCCGATTGCATTACACAACTTTTTCTCTCAAGTGGCGTATTTCACTTCTTTTAGAGTACGAAGGTTAAACTTTTGTTAGCCGACGCAAGGCTCGTCATATCGCTATGGTGGTGAACACATGCATCCTCTTTGTGCATATCAGTGGTCTAGAGGCACCATAATACAAAATCAGTTTAGCGCCATCCCGCGTTAGGCAACCTTGCCACTAGCTTTGTCTTTTGGCTCATTTGCCGTGTCCGAATGACTTGGCCACGGCCGCAATTTACACACGACTTAATGGGAACTAGCCGCGGCAACTGCCATAGAATCGTGCGTAATTTTCAGCCGTACTTCCAGATACATGCTGCACACTCGCGCACAAATCTACTAGGACATGTTACTGAATTTCCCGTTCTGCAATATTTTATCCAGTGTTTTTACATGTACGCCGAGATAAAAAAAAATGGATATGGGATGTCCGAGTCCTAAGGGGACGGAATTCGCCAGCTGTGAGACGGTTAAAAAACCCGGTTCTTTAGTCGAGTTCCAGAGAGGCCCTACTCGAGGATGCAACAACTTAGCTTTCGTGGCATTATAATGTTCACACCAACAAAAAGGAAACAATTCTAGATTAGCGCCATTTCTGCAAAAGACTGATTACCCTGGTTCAAATTTCTACAATGTCCCTCTAGATTCTCCTTGCCGTCCCGAACTTCCAAGAAGCGACAGAAGATTTGATGCTTAAAGTTACCGTAGCAACCACAGGAAGGATTCTGTGTGTATTTACCTCGAGATTTCCAGGCCCCATTTCCACGTGTAGTGAGATGTGATAGTTCATATCCACAGCAGTGTGCCCCAAGCTGTTAATCGAAGGGTCACAGTATGAAACCGTTGCAATTGTGTAAAAATTGACCAAACTACACGAATAGCCATTCAAGAGGTTTCCCCATAAGGAATAAATTTTCCGCAAATCATGGAAAAATATGGTCAGTGGGTCTGTGGAATGCGATTTTTCAATACAACTTTTGTTTCAAGTTTGTTTAGCTACTTAGAAGGGCATCTTGGTATCTTAGGGATTTTATGCAAATGATTATTTACAAATTCAAAGCAAAAAGTAATATATCATGCCGGGAAGAAAACCTCAATATTACGCTGATTTGCGCCTACAAAGCTTGATTTTCTTACATTTTGATGGCCTAAATTAAATATGTCTGTGGTGATTCAAAGCTGTGGAAATAAAAGCAATATGATGACGAGTAACCCCTTCCCAAAAATGTTTTCAATATGCAAATCTTTGGTTTACAATCTAACAGGAAACAGTGACTCCCTGACTGACATCCCCGCAACAGCGCCCTCACTCAACAGAAAAGTATGGACAATTTTTTAAGAAGAGCATTTTTTAAAAATATCTTCCAAAATAAGAATTGGCCCCACAACCGTACCACTTCCGTACCACACGTAATTGAAATGAGTGTGGCAGGAGCTGCAACGTGGTATACCCTGTTGAGCTAAAGGCTTTATGGTGCTGTTTGTCGATCCGAATTGGGGGTTACCGCTGTGCTAACTTTAAGAAATAAAATTATTTAAGTTCGGCGCGACAGAAGCACAGTCCTTAGCCCCTACAATTGCTAGGTTACCGGTAATTCCTACAGGTAAGCTCAGACATTTTTCATTACAGTGTTACAGTTCGTGACAATAAAACCCAGATGAAAAAGGCATGCATGTCTGTGCTTAACGTGTATTCTTAACCGTCTCCGTTGTAAACTTTAAATTTAAACATTCACGAGGCGCGGATCCTCTTCCCTCCCCGTGTAGTTTAGTCCTCTCTTTTTAATACAAGATCGCACCATGTGTCAATAATAAAACGGAAGGCTGTCGCTGTTAGATACTGCTTGGCCGACCGATGACATTTTTTTTTTATTCAAGCGTAATGCCTCAAGTCGCCCTTGCATGTTTAACCCACATCCGGGAGGCATGACGACTCCGAAAGGAAACGAAGCGTAGGTGACGTGCGGGTAAAATTTCACAACCCAGTTGCTTCTTAAAGGCCACGTGATCAACACAAAACTGATACATCTTTCCGAGCTCCCTTGAGTGTTTGACACATTGTTCGGCTGAATGTCACGCAAGGTTTTTTTTTAACCGATGGTCATGTAAATAAGGAACAAACTGTTGGAAGATGATTTACAAAATACATGTAGCAGGACCAAGCACTTGGGATCAGTTCATATTTGATGTTTTTCCCCTGGAATGGAATCGACAAAAGCAGGCTTATACGGAAATGCATCCGTATTCTTCGTGCTACGAGGACAAATTCAAATGGTAAATGCGAGCAATTTGTTTTAATACAACGCACCTTTGTGTCTATTAAGTTAACTTCATTTTCAACTTTTTCTTCATTGGTTCAAAGGTATTTTACTAACGTTTTGGTTTTCATGATAATGAGTATTTTTATATTGATGAGCAAAACTGTGATACCATCCCAGGAAGAAAGCTTCAACGCTACACTAGTTTGTTCACAAAAGGCCAGGCAATTTCGTAATTATTTTGCTGGACTACAGTTCATTGTTATTTATTTGCATAGAAAGAAGCGAGCATCAACGCTTTACTCTGAAATATTTTCATAAGTATATTCTGGGTTCACAGTTTGAAAAGAAAAAAAACTAGGCGCTGAACTGTCTTCCCTAGATGACATCATAGCAACAGCACTCTCAGTTGTCCTGGAAAGCTCAGATTATTTTAAGTGCTTGAAAGTTCACTTTTCAAAATCATTTAACCAAATGGGAATATGAAAGAGTTTCATTCACTGAGAAGAGCACAAAATTGCAAAAAACATGCGTCTGACCAAAATGAATTGCAGCCACACTTTGAATCGACACAAGACCGTATTTAGGTTACGGTTAATTGAAGTGCAACAAATAAGCGGTGCGATGCCTCAGAGCTGTAGAGAGAGTAGCGCCAACTTCAGACTTTGGCACCAAAATGACTTTCCATTTATCTGTGCAGTGCAGCAAGCAGCTACTGTGTGTGAATTTTTCATGTGCATGGACGCATAATCCACCATTTTGGTTCCAATAAAGGAGATTCTCCTGTCGCAAACAGCTCTGCTATGCCCATAATTATAGCGCCCTCAACTTGGAGCTGGTGGCATATTCGTACGGTCAGTGGTGAGACTGTCATGGTTGTTCTTCAGCCAGGGCGTAGAAAAGCTAGAGGCAGTATTGCCGCACTTCACGAGTGAATTCTGCACGTAGCGTATGTTTACAACCGTCGTGCGACTGACAATGAACCATTTCGTGATTGCCTACTGGTTCCTCAGGAAAAATAAAGAAAACGCGAAACCGCCCTTTCTGCCGTGACACTTATTGCAAGCAAACGCGCTGGTCTAATTATTGAGTCGTTAGAGGGCGCACTATGTACCGTCCGTC